AGTATTACTTGGAAATAAAAATAACGAAATATTGATGTAGTGATTTGCTATATCATGGATGAACCATGAACACATTATGCTGAATGAAAGAAGCAATTCACTCCATTTATGTAAAATGCAAATGTATAAAGACAGAATGTAATTAGTGGTTGCCTGAAGAGATGAATGTCAGGAGACTGGAAAATTACTGCTAATGGATAAAGCGTTTCTTCTTTTGGGTGCTGACCATCCAACTCTGAATATGCTAAAAATCATCATGTTATATATATTAAATGGGTCAGTCCTTTGCATGGTAGGTGAATTTTATCTTAATAAAACTGCTAAAAGGTGGATGATTGGTTAATTTCCAGGATAAGAAGTTACATCTAATTATGTGAACATGTCTGTCCCCCTGTTTCCCCTAAACTACTACTTTCTCTCCTCAAACTTCTTCTTTCACATCACTCATTTATTTCACAAACATTAAGTGAGATAGAATCCCAACACATACGTAATGGACATCTACTATGTTTGAGAAAGGATTCTATGCTCTGAAAGTGCAGGATTATCTCAGGGCAGACAAGGAGAGTAGTTAAACAGGAGAGACAGAAACCAAGATACACTAAGGAATTATAGAAATGTTCTCTCCCACTGTGACATTTATTCTTCTTTAGGAATAGAGAGTCCATCTCCAATCTTGTTGTCACTGGAGTAAGCTAGAATAAAGAGTGCAGTCAAAGGGACAACCAAAAAAGTTTTGTTTTCTGATTATTCAAGGCTGTTTGAGCCAGCTTTTTCACTGCTGTGACTGAAAGAATTGTAGAGGAGGAAAAGTTTACTTGGAGACTCACGGTTTCAGAGGTCCCAGTCCATTGACAACCACCTCCATCCTTAGAGGCTTGAAGTGAGGCAGACAGAACATCACTACAGAAGAGTGTGGTGGAGAGAAGCAGCTCACATGATGATCAGAAAGCAGAGAGATCCCACTTTCCAGATATAAACTATGTACCCCAAAGGCTCGCCCCCAGTGCTCCACCTCCTCCAGCTGCATACTTCCTGCCTTCAGTTCCCACTCAGTTAATCCTATCATGGGATTAATTTGTTGATCAGATTAAGGTTCTCATAGCCCAAACACTTCACTTCTAAGTTTTTATGCTTTGACTCATACATGAGCTTTTGGGGGACCCCTCACATCCAAACTGTAATAAAGGCTTAATTATAAAAGTGCTTATTCCGAAAGTTGTTTTCAAATATACTTTATTCTTTTGGAAGAACAATGGCAATAATAAAATGCAGTTCCATTATTTAAGAACAACTTTAAAAAAATGTGCACTTATCTTGTTCCAGACACATTTGAAGTATTTATATGAACTAACTACATATCACAGCCACCCTAGATATGCTATCATGAAGAAATTAAAGCACAGAGAGGTTAAGTAATTATCCTACAGTTATAAGATTAGTGAATGGTAAGACTGGATGGGAGTTCATCTTAGGTGATGGGATGCCAGCACCCAAGTCCTCAGCCTCCACACTCCTGCCATCTACTTAACCCCATCTCAGGAATCTGTATGCCCATCTTCTTGATGCTCTAAATAGAAACTTATGAGACATCTTTAAGTCCCTCCCTTCTCTTGTTCCCTTTAACTGACATTGTAGATTAGCAAGACCTAAATATCTCCTAAATATCACTCAACTATGTATATTTTGAATTTTCATTGTCACCACATGGTCTGAACTGCCAGTGTCTGGACTGTAGTCATCTCCTAAAGGATCTTCATGGTTTGCCCCTCTATACTCCAGCCACCCAAGAAGTACCCTAAAGTGCTTTAGAAATGCAAACCACATAAAGGTACTTCCCTGCTCAAAATTTTCCATTTGGCCTCTTCCCACTTCCCTCTCTCTGCTTCCTGACCACCACAAGCAGAAAAGCATCATTCCATAACACCCTTCTGCCATGATTTTCTTCTTCATCTTGGGCCCAGAGCAAAGATGTTGGCTGAACATGACTGAATCTCTGAAACTATGAGCCAAAATAAACTTTTTCTTCTCTATGTTGTTCTTGATAGGTATTTTGGTCATAGTGATACAAAGGTGACCAATACAATGCTGTAGGAGTCAATGGTGTCTTTTCCTTTCTGTTCAAGCTAATCTTTTGAGCAAGAGAGTATCTTTCTTGCCTTTGTGCATCTGTACCAATGATACCCTCTTCTGGTGATATTTTTTGTTCACATAAATCTTCTGATCATCCTGTAACTTGCTGATAAGACATCACCTCTATAGAGGGGCCTTTCTTTACCTCTTCCTGTTGAGTAGCTATTGCATGGCAGTTGACCACAGATAACAACCGATAAAAACTGTGTAATATATTTCTAAAAGCTATTAGAAAGGATTTTGAATGTTTTCAACATAAAGAAATAATAAAAGTTTGAGGAGATAGTTATATTTAACCTGATTTAAACATTATGAAATGTATTCAAGTATCAAAATATCATGTTGGCCCAATAATATGAATAATTTTTTGTTTTAATTATAAGTTAAAATATATATTTAATTAAAAAACCAAGTGTCTTCCTCTTCACTCTCCCAGTCTCTGTCCATTATACATAGCCTCTGTTACCATTGATGCAGTTGCTGTTTGTCTCTATTTTCTGGATATAAACTCTTACATCAGAATCTTTGCTTGTTTCATAGGATACAGTATCATTAATCCCTCTGAGAGTGAGGGTGCATCTTAAGCATGCAACAAGAGTCATTGAATGAATGAATGAAGTGTTAGGAAATGCATGGTGAGATCAAGGCCTTTGTTGCCTCTTCTAACAGGAATAGTGATTTGAGGTTCTTGGGAGAAGTATTATGAAAATTAAAAAGCAGGTGTAGTTATATCGCATAGTCTCCATATATGGAATGAGAGAGTAAAACATAACATTGCCAACTCCATTTCAGAGATATAAAAGCAAAGGGCTTAACTTCTATCACCAAACAAAATAAAATAAAAAATAAAAATAAAAACATACCTAAGAGTATACAAATAAAGCTTCATTTTCTAAATCCTATTTAAACAGATTAATTCAGTTCAAGACTACTTGCATAAAATTTCTAATGTTTCTTTTATCTTTGCTCCTCTCTCTATCTTTTCTTCTTGATGCACTTCGGCCTATTATTCCTACTCTTCAAAGTTTTGACCACATTTGAATGCATGAGAATCTATTGGGTTTTATTCATTAATAGCAAATTCATATTTCATTTTTTGATGCCTCAGAGCATTTACTATTTTTATAACCCTTTAAAATAATACTTCTTAGAATTCCCATTGTTTTTTAGATCCAGAGCCTGTTCTGCATCTAGAGACATTTAGATCATGTTGCTTTAATGAAGTGATGAGGAATGTATTTTACCTTTGTTTTTTAACTTCTTGTGGGGTCATGGACCCTTTTGGGAACCACTGAAGACTGTGAGCTAGTGTCCCCCAATGAATACACACACAGACACATAGAAATATCATATCCAATGCTAAATCCAACCAGGCTGACTCCGATAGCTGAGAATAGGGTAAATTCTACCCAAAACCACGTGATTGCAACTCAGTGGATATGAATGACAGGATCACAGCAGGATCCTAACAGAGGATCCTGATTCCTAGTTCTACATAGTTACAATCTTATCAGTGTTAAATCTTCCATATCATTACTTTTAACTTTATATTTAATACAGAGTGTCATGTAAACTAAGTTCCTCCTTTCCTTCTCACTCCTACAGTTAGAGACCATGAATTCAAATCTAACCTACTGGTATGATTACCAGCAATTTTTCTCTTGGTTTTGTGCTTTTTTTGTGAGTCTAGATTTTCTATAATGAATATGTCTGCCTATCTATCTATCTATCTATCTATCTATCTATCTATCTATCTATTGCTTATTCATTCCAAAAATATGATATAATGTTAGAGACCACATAATAATAATCAGCTAAACTCAAACCATCAGGTTTTTAATGGTAATAAGCCAAATGAAATCACTTCTCAAGCAGAAGCTAATTTATTGCCCTGTTCTTTCTTTCTTTTTTCTTTCTCCTTCCTTCCTTCCTTCACTGACCCCCCTTCTTTTTTTCCTTTCAGATCTAGAACTGTGAGGTTCTTAATTCCAATAATCTCATTAATATTTTCAAATAAGTTTATTTTAAAATTTAAAAATCTTATTGGTTTAAGATCCTTAGACACTGACATCTTCATGAGTAAAAATGGGTTTTAGGCATACCGATACTGAGATAGGGAAGCAGCACATGGAATGGTAGAAGGACAATGGGTTGGCCTTTCTGCCCTATCGTTTCCTCACCATTGAACCTCCGCCAGTCACTTAACCTTTCTGAACCTTAGTTACTTCAGCTGAGAAATTCTGCAGTTGGATTAAATGCTCTCTACAATCTTTCTATTTATGAAATTCTAGGATTCCATGAGTGGCTCTAAGTCACACTTTATGCTCTGGCAGAACTGATACTCACTGCCTACTTTGAGAAGGGTGAGCAGGTTTCACTCTCAGCATGACGTTGATTGGTAGAGTTTGTCTACCAAATAGTGGTGGTAAGAAAGTTTTTGAAGGTCCCTACTACGGACTCAGAAGGACAAATAGTAACCCGGGCTGTCACGTGCCTGAATCCTCAGTCAAGCTCACATACACATAGCATGCAATGTCCCCTGGTAGATTTTATTATCGCCCAGTTCCAAGTGAAATAACTGGAGAAGTCTTGCATTAAAGTCGATCTTCCTCTTTTTTCTGCTCTTTGATGTCTCTTAATCATTGGTTGATATGGATAAGAAAATGTTTTCGCTGAAACATTGTGGATACAGAAGGGAATGCCTTGCTTGCTCCGAACCCTCGATACTTTCTTGTAGCGGGATCTTGTGAACTAAAACTTCAGGGCTGGTTAGCAAACGTCCTAACAGCAGCTCTGAGAACAGCAGGGCTGCCTGCGAGGGGTTTGCAATGATGCTCACTTCTTGCTTCTGTCAAACCCAACCACAGTGCAGAACTCCAACAGAAACCTGTGAATAAAGATCAATGTCCTGGAGAGAAGCCAGAGGCACCTGAGGCAGGAGGCATTTATCACTGCCACAGCAACTCCAAGGCCACCGAGAGCAGGGTGAAGGAGCAAGCGCACGCCAAGTGGAAACTCTGCGCGGCCTCGGCGATATGCTTCATCTTCATGATTGCGGAGGTCGTGGGTGAGTACTGCCCGGGAATGCTCCCCCGGCTAACCCAGCAAACAAACGGAGTCCTGCATCATTAGGGGAGGGTTGCCTAAGTTCTTCCTTAAGCGTAAGATTTAATATTTTCTGCAAGAATAAACTAACAATATGCTTAGCACAGATAAGTTGGAAAATAGAAGAAGGCAAAACAAAATCATTATTTTAACCCATTTGAGTGTTAACCTCAATAACATTACCGAATATTTTGTGCAATCTATTTTTTTATGCCTGGCTCACAGGTTGTTTCTTTTACACAATGGAGAGCATATTGAACGCCTTTCACTATGCTTTCACATACTGCTCTAACACATTTTTATGCCTGAACAATATTCTATAATATGCTCACTATAATTTACATAACCATTTCTGTTGTTAGACACTTAGGGAGTTTTTTTCTTCCTTGTGGACAAGACTGCAATGAAAAATCTTGAATAAACTCTGCCTGCCTTTCTGTTAATCCTTTCAAAGCCGTTTCTTGAAGTAGAAATCATTTGTTGAAGGCCATTGTTTTAAATCAGCTTTTTCACTGCTGTGGCCAAAAGACCTGACAAGAATAGTGTAGAGGAGGGAAAGTTTATTTGGGGCCCATGGTTTCAGAGGTCTCAGACCACAGATGTTCAACTCATGGTCACTTGGAGCCATCATTTCCTGCCTTTTCATGAGGCAGAACATCATGGAGGAGAGCACACTGCTTACCTCATGGCAGTTGGGAAGGAGAGAGGAGAGAAAGAGAGAGAATATGAATATGAACAAAATCCACTCTTCAAGGGCTTGCCTCCTGGGATCTATTTCCTCCATCTAGACTCCTCTCCACCAAAATTCTACCACCTCCCAACAGTCCATCAAATTATGAATTACTAATCCACTGATAAGGTTAGAACCCTCATGTTCCAATCACTGCCCAAAGGTACCCCCTCTGAACTTTACTGCCTGGGGAACTAAGCCTTCCACACATTAGCTCCTGGAATCAACATGAGATTCCAGATCCAAAGCATAGGTGTCTTTTACCTTTTAATTTTTTGCTTTGCCTTCTTAAAGTTTTAAATTTTACATAGGTAGTATATAAAACTTCTCATTCTGATTTCTTTTACTATATTGATGTTTAATAGCCCTTCCCCTTTGATTGAGAAGATAAATGACATGTTTTAATAGTTGTTCAAATTTTAGCATTTAATTTTTAAATCAATGTGAAAGTAAAGTGGATTGAAAATTCTTTTTTTAAAAATAACTAACAGTTCTTAGCCTAACTTATAGTAAAATAATTTTCCTCATTCATATTTGATTGTTTATTATCTATCAAACTTTTATAAATAATAAAGTATATATCTAAGGTCATTCGTTTCTGAGTTCCTATTCTCTCAATAACATAATTGATGTAGAATTTTTATATTATAAGATCTGTTGTATCCTCCTATTCTTAAGAGGAAAAAATAACAGCTATTTATTCCTGTTTGTTATTCTAATTAAACATGCATCATTTCTTTCAGTTCTCCCACAAATCTAATTATGATTTTATTGAATATAAGTTAATTTAAGAATACAAATATTAGTTGAATAATTAAAATTTAACTGTAGTTTTCTCTTTGTTGTTCTTTTCCTAGGTTTTTAAATTTTAAAATTATGTGTGCTAAAATGGAAAACAATTTTAATAATTTTCCATCCATAAAGAAACCAAACAACTTACAAAATATTATGGTTATCTCTTTCTTTTTAGATAACACCATATATATATGTATATATAAATATATGTATTTCATAACTGTGGACAATATTCAATTGCTCATGTAAGAAATGACAAAATGTAAATTAAGCTCCTCCTTTCCTTCTCACTCCTACAGTTAGAGACCATGAATTCAAATCTAACCTACCTAGAGTCAGAAGTATGTCAGTAGGGGAATGACACGGGTACTGACAATTATCTGGATTTTGAAGGTATTGATATTAAGCTAATTGTCCTAAAACATTGCTCTTATCATGTTATTACTGTCTTCAAAATTTTCCACGTGGCTTCGCTTCATCTAGTTCAGTGGTTCAGACTTTTCCCTGTTTCCGCAAACAGAGGGAATTTTGCTGAACACTGGCCTAAACTGATAAGGGTGCTTATAGCTGGAACAGACTGGTTTACAAGCTGCCACTGCGTTAGATCTCACTTGGCATACCCAAGTAAAAAGAAATCAATATATTGGAAAGCTCTGGCATCTAGAACAAAATGAAAAATTCTTTCTTTGGTTTCTCAGACATTCTACAATCTTTCTGCCAAACTGAAATATTAATTCTTACCCCATCCTTACCTGACTACTCTGTTTTAGTCAGGGCACGTATTCATTCTCTTCAAAATACCTATAGTACCTTGGAGTCCCAATAGCTTTTGCTTTAGTTGTTGTTGAATGCAAAAATCCTATTCTTATTCTCTACAGTAGTTGAAATCCTGGTCATAATTCAGGACTTTGATCCACAGTTGACCTCCCCTCCAAAGCTGTTCTTGACCCTATTCGAGAAAGTAATTATTACTTTTCAGACCACTTTTGGGAATCCAAAAGTCTTTCTGCAGGATGTAAGCTTTGAGAAAGCCCTGGGTAGAGACTGAAATAGGACAAATAGAAGATAAGAAGTGTTTTCCAGATGGAAAGGCCTGAATAAACAGTACCCTATTTACTACTGTAGTCTAAGAGGTTATAAATATGAGGCCTTACCTTGAAAGATTTCTAGTGGATAGGTGGGAAAGAGGACAGGGAATGATGTGTTAGAAATGTGGGTGCCATTGTTTGAAGTGGACCAGCATTTCCAGTTTATCAAGCCTTCTCATCCCCTTTATTCTGGTTGTAATTCTGGTCCCTTTGGCTTGAGTACTTCTTGCTCACAGGAAGGACTGTGGGATGCCGAACTGGCTTAGTCAATCTCTGGGGCTTCATAAAGGAAGGCTGAGTAAAAACTCTCTGCCTTTCTTCTATGACCACTAAGCTAAAGATAGAGAGACCTGGAGCTTCCAGAGACCCACCTTTCCCATGGAAAGGGAGGAAGTCTGTCTATTTTAGTACAGTTAAAGGTAACAACTGGAGACAAGGCAGAGTCCTAATGACATATTTTGAATCTTAAGAGATGGCTATATCTGTTCTGATCCCACACAGATTTTTTTTTTCTCATTTAGGTGAGCCAATAATTATGATATCACTGTTGTTTAAGCTTGTTTGGATTAGCACCTATCTAAAGGCAGGGTTAAGTGCAGTAGTTACTGGAGGGTATAAACAGAATGGTAGTTGGAGGGTCAAGAAAAATTGAGGTCCAGCTGGGGAATGAAATTTATCCTATAAGCCTCAGGGAGACATTGACATTTAGAACAAGGAGAAGTAAGTCGTTGAGCTGTGTTTAGGAAGATCACTTTCACAGGGTATAAAGCAGAAGGAAGAAAGAACTAAGAAGGGAAGGATTTGAGCATAATATGTCCACTCTTCATGGGCCTTTGAACTTTTTGAGTCAGGGCTGTTTTTGGTGACTTGTAAAATTCCTCACTGTAGAAAAGCCATAAGGAGGAGTTATGCTGCAGATGGAAACTCATGTCTCTGAAAAGATGCACACCCAGACACTGAGAACTCAGAAAAAATAAGCTCAAGTATGTCATTGCTGGAAAAAAATGAGGATGGTCAGGGAGAGGCCTCAGAAGCAGGCCTATTCAGGGCTGAACAGGGTAGAGAAAACAAGAGATAACATGACAGGAATACAGAGCTGAGCACATGCTGGGGAAGATGATAAGTATCTGAGAGCAAAAAAATTTCTCACTTACTAAGAGAAAGATATAGCTGGGTGGGATGAGAAACAACATGCTTTTGGATAAGGGTACAGCCAGGGTGTCTCAGTGGCTCAGGTCACAAATATTTTTCAAGGTTCTTAAAAACTTAAGAAATGTTAAAACCTGGCTATAAAATCTGTGGTAGATTTTAAATACTTGTTAAACAATAACTCAATGAGATTTTGACATAGTATATTATATAGTACAGTAGAATACTTCTATCCATAAGATAATTAAAATAGATTTTAAAATGTCAATTAATAGTATGCAATGGTGTAGCCCAGTAATGGGACACAAGTTTAATGTTGTCAGATAAATAGTCACCTTTTACAGTCCTGTCAGTCCTTTTACAGTCACCTTTTACAGTCCTCTGTTCTCCATGGAAAATATTATGGGGACTATTATTAAGAGATTATCTATATTTTTCCCATGTACTGAGGCTTTATGTGAGGCTGAACTTAAAAGCAATAAACTTCTCAACTTGGCATAAGAAATTTCTAGGTAGCATAGCATTCAGACAGTAGCATGGATATTGCTGGCAGTTTTTAGTGACGTTTACTGTGCTAATCAGGAGCAGAAACAGCAGAAAGATTTGGAAAACTTGCAGTTTGGCTAGAAAACTGCGAGTACAACTGGCGTTAAAGAAGCTGTGATAATTAAAAAAAAGAAAAGAAAAAGAAAAGAATATAGCCACTAAAGAGATGCTGCTAAGTACTCTACCCAGAAAAAATAGAAAAGATGGCATGAGAGCATCTCAGGAATTGGGAAGACCACACCCTTCTCTGGATCAATAATATAAAAGTAAAAGTTCCTTTGAGAAGAGACCAGTGGGACATACTGCTTATACAGGAGGGCCTAGGAAGGTGTATCACCCTGCTCAGCCATCCAGGCACCCAAAGGCTGCTGCAGAGGCTGCTGTAGCCAGACCAGGGGTTGGCTACTTCTCAAGGTGGCAGCAGATCTTGGCATCAACCAGGTGGTAGTGGTTCTTCAAGAATATAGGGTGCTGGACTTTGGGGGTCATGGAAATTTCCACCAAGATTTCAAAGGAAGGCTTGGGAGGCCAGGCAAAGTGTAGCAGAGTTGGAGTTCCTGCAGGATGCACCTGAGAGCAATGTGTGAAGTGAGAAGGATGCTGATGCTACAGTGGATACCGCTGAGATTAGGAGATGCCAGTACCATCGGATGTCTGCTGAGGATAACTGCAGGAATTGAGCAGAAATAAGCTGGGAAGGATACCACTGTGGGCCACAGCCAGCAAGACTATAGGAGAGAGCTATTCAAGCTCTGTGAAGAGAACATCATGATGCCACGTGCCCCAGATGCTGGATAAGGAACTATAGGCTTTGCTTTCCCAGCTAGATTTCAATCTTGTTTTGGTCCAATCTTTTCTTTTGATGCTCCTATTTCTCCCTTTTTGAATGGAAATGTTTATTCTGTGCTTTTATATATTGGATATATGTAACTTGCTTTTAATTTTTACAGGGACTCACACTGTCTCAGTGGAGGTGTTGGACTTGGACTTTGGGGAAATACAGAAACTGTTAGACTTTGAGGGAAAATGGACTAAATGTATTTTGTGTTGTGAGGTGGGCATAAGATTTGGGGGCCAAGGGCAAAATGTTGTGGTTTACATATGAGGTGAGACAATGCAAGAAAATTCAGAGGTAAAATTCCTCCCTTGCCTTGTTATAAGTGCACTGTTCTGCATGTCTTACTAAGAATTCCATAAATATGACTGCTACAGCCTTAGTTTATGCCTTTACCCTATTTTTCTGTGGCTTTTCCTGTAGCATTTTAACCTCTAGCTCATATCTCTGAAAAGTCTCTCCAGTCGAGAAGTTTAACCTAATCAGTGCATTAATTTCATTGATAGGGATTGACTGGGTGATCACTGCAGGTAGGTAGGGTATGGCTGGAGGAGGTATGTCATTGTGAGTGTGCCTTTGAGGTTTATATTTGGTCCCTGATGAGTGGGTATTCTCTGTTTCCTGATTGTTATGTCCTGATCTGCTTTCTTCTGTCATGCATTCTGCCTTGATGTTCTGCCTCAGGTTGGGCCCAGAGCAATGGAGCTGGCCATCTGTGGACTGAGACCTATGAAATCATGAATGACAAATAAACTTTCTCTTCTAAAATTGTTCTTTTCAAGTGTTTGATTCATAGTGGTAAAAACAAACAAACAAACAACAACAACAACAAAAAAAACAGACTAAAACATGTCTTGTCAAGAATTCCATAAATATGATTGCGACAGCCTTAGTTCATGCCTTTATCATATTTTTCTGTGGCTATTACTTTAACTTTTTAACCTCCTGCTCCTTAGCCCTTCAGTCATCTTCCATATTCCATATTTGTTGCAAAGATCTCTCCCAAATTTCAAGTGCAATCATGTAACAACCTTGGCTCAAAATCTGAAGTAGATCCTATTATCCCATTGAATAACATTCAACTTCTTTAGCATGACATATAGTACCCCACACAAGTATCCCTAACCTGCCTTTCAAGTCCCATTTATAGTCTTGCCAATACTTCATATCAACTAATTTCCACAAATATACCACATTCTTTCATCTCTGTATCTGTGTCCCTGTTCTTGTCTCTTCCTGAAAAATGCTTTTCTTCTTGCTAATGCTTATTTCTCTCTTCTGTCTAAAGTTCCTCAATATTTCAAGTGCTCTCTCATCTCCTGACTCTTTAGAAGGTCTTCAGTGCAATGTTAGATCACTGAAGGGAGGTGATTTATTTATCTTTGTGTACTCTGTCCCTGGTATCGTGCACAGTAAGGCCCAATAAATACTGGCTGGAAGATTGAATTAATTGTCAATAACCTCCCATGCTTTCAGGAGCAAGTGCAAGTGCACTCATAAACTTCGTCTTGCAAACAATTTGCTCTATTGGATTCAGCAGTGGTTGTCCAGTTTTCTGGATGGTTCTCATAAGCAGCTCTGATTGTTGCAAAATGATTCTCATTCCCAGGCTTTCATATTAACATGCTTCTTCCAAAGCAACACTTCTTTCTCATTGTCTCCTGACTCCGCACAGCCTGTTGAAGAATTCCTATAGGACCATCTCCTTGACTTAGACTACAATTTCTGTGCAGCACACAGAATCATCATCATTCATTGCTGAGATTGCAGCATGCTGCTTATCTGCATGGAGTCATTCTCCAGGCAAGAAATAATGCATTATTAACACAGCTTTATTATCAGGACCAAGTTTGGCAGATAGAGCAACATTAGAGGATAATTGGAAGGACAGCTGATTTGTTAGCAAAATGTTGCCTTTTGGCTAATGAATCATTCCGATTTTTGCACTGACAGCTCAGTAACAAGCTTGAAGACTACTTTGCTTCAGACCATTAAACTTTGACAAACCAGTTATTAAGTACAGCTAGAGCCAACGGTCTGTGGGGATTATTGCAATTATGAGCTATCTCTGTAATTTTTTTTAATCATTAGGCAAGACAAGGTGAGTCTGATGAGGGAGGGCCTGATGACTGACAGTCCCTTGCTTTGTAGTACACAAGGCAATAAACAGCTGCAGGAGGACTAATCAGTCAGCAAAAGCTCTTTGCTGGGAAGATGTAGTAAGAGCAATAAAGGTTATTGCTCTCAAATGACAAATCCTGTTCAGGAAGAGAAGGACAAGGCTTTCCTTTAATTTCTAGTTTGGAGGCTGAGGTCTTTTCAAAGGAGAATTAGAGGGGTAAAGAGGAAACATCCCAAATGGAGAGAAAAATCAAGGCTGGACTCGTGCTGGGAGTCTTGCTGGGCTCAATTCCTATGCTATTTTGAACTCTTGTGGCATTCAACATGCCCATTGGACAGTACCCGACCTTTTCCCATTCTGGTCCTCCTATGTGTGAAAGGGATCTTGAACTCAGGTGGATAATAAAAAAACCATTTGAACAAAAAGAAGTGGCAAGGACTATGGTAAAACTACAAGTCGATTAATTATACATCTGTGGGCCAGATGGCAGCATCTGGTCTGCAGATAGAGGTCCAGGTCCTCAGCGGGCACTTTGAGACCCTTTGAATCTGCCTATGCCCCACAAGCATCACCTTTCCATATTCCCCTTTTTAGAATCTGTATGCTCCAGTCTAACTGGGATGTTCTCCACATGTGCCCTACACTTCCCAATCTCAAATACTTTAATTTTCCCTTGAAATTCATTTTTTATGTAGTTGAATCGTATTGACTTTATGGGTCCATTTCTTTATCTGTCAAATTATGAAAAAGGAATAAATTAAAACAAGAGAAGATGCCTCTCTCTTCTAAAGTTGGGTGAGTTAGTAACATTTTTCATCAGCTATGGTTAGAACTGCTGTGAATCTAGCTGCATTCTGGGCCTTATGATGTTTTGCATTCCTTAGGTGGGCACATTGCTGGGAGTCTTGCTGTCGTCACGGATGCTGCCCACCTCTTAATTGACCTGACCAGTTTCCTGCTCAGTCTCTTTTCCTTGTGGTTGTCATCAAGGCCTCCCTCTAAGCGGCTGACGTTTGGGTGGCACCGAGCAGGTATAGTTCTTCACTTGAAAAAATAATAACCAAGTGGTGCTGCAGAGTCAAACTCAGGGTTAAAATGGAAGGTAAAGAGTGAAGCCTTGTTCAAAAGTCTCTTAGGGATACACATCTTTGTGCCCAGGATAAAATAGATATGGGAATGCATGCTGCTAATAGTAATTCAACTAACAACCAGATGAATGGTGCTACCTCTTGTTTTATGGGACAGTTGGAACACATGTGTCATTTTAGGAGCCACCCCAACACTAGGATCTCAGTGTATGTGACAATGATAATGCTATTCATTTAACTACTTGTATTCCTGGAAGAGAGGATTAAGCTAAAGTTTCTGCCATATTGCAGAACAAGACTCAGAGAGCCTAAGAGAGTTGCAGAGATTGAAGAATTTCTCCCTAGGAAGTCAGGAACACATCATGGGCCTTCCTGCTCACAGAAAGCATTGCTATGGTTTGAATGCTGCCTCCAAAATTCATGTTGCATTGTAATTGTCATTGTGACATTGTTAATAGGTGGAATCTTAAAGAGACGATTACGTCATGAGGGTTCTGCTCTTAGTAGTGGATTAATGCCTCAATTGCAGGAGAGGGTTCCTGATGTAAGGATGCGTTTGGCCCATTCTCTCTGTCTTGTGCCTGCTCTCTTGCCCTTCTGTTATCCTGTGATGCAGCATGGAGGCCCTTGCCTGATGCTGACACCTTGCTCTTTGGACTTCCCAGCCTCCAGAACTGTGAGAAATAAATCTCCTCTCATGATAAATCACCCAGTGCTTTTTGTTAGCAGGAAAAAAAATGCACTAAGACAGTCATCAGAGAATGCCTGAATATATTGCTCAGTCAGTCATCACCCACACAACAGAAGTAAAAAGAGGAGGAGCAGCAAGAAATGAAATTTCACTTTGGGGAGCTTTTTCTTCCACTGAGAGTAATTGCTTCCTTTTAGTGAGAAACTGGCCCGGCTCATGGCAAAGGTTTACTTTCTGGGACCTTCTAATTTTGGCTCATTTTTATAAATTCACCTACCATTTCTTTCTCCCCAACAACTGCAATTCTACTTCTCCTCCTCTGTCCTGGGAACCAAAAGTTACAGCTCCATGTTTTTTACATTGCTTGAGAAAATCAATATAAAGGAGAAGAGGGCAGAGCAAGGACACCCATGTTGCTAGCCTTCGCTGAAGTGTGCCGGTGGATGAGGACCACAACTCCTAGACTACAGACTACAGGTTTTCAAGTTTAGAGTGATAGGAAGTTCTAATTTCATATTAAACAATTTACCATTGCAGATATTTTGGGATTGCTTTCCCTTTATATTCAGAGAGAGATGAGATAATAAAAGCAATAAAGAGTTTGTCACCGTATGATCTGAGAATGCTTCCACCGTTCCTGGACAGAGCCACACTTGAAAACCATGAACCCATCATTTGTCTATATAATTTTTTGCATGTATTTCATTCTTACCAATTCCATTGATCAGAGCTGTTTTGTAAATGTAGGTTAGTTTGTAAACACAGGATGGACTCAGAAATTAGGTCATTAATGCCCTTTGTCAACGTGGCCATGGAAATCCATGAACGTTGATATGCCAGAAGACCAAGGCTGTTCAAAAGAACCCTCTGCTACGAGAGAAAATATTTAATCATTGAGTATAATATGGCTATTGAGGACTTTAAATGTGGTGGTACAACTGAAGAATAAGAGTGGTTTTTATTTTAAACATTTTCATTTAAGTAGCCACACATGATGGATGGCTATCATGCTAAGTAGACATATTGGTGAGCCCATCCTAGTCCACCCACAAACTGGTCTGACCAACCTGATGGCCTTACTCATCTCATGGTTTTCTTAGCAATCATAGTACCATTTGTCAGTGGTTCCTGAGGTGCTTTTTAATTTAGTTTTATTTTAACTAGTTTCTTTTGGATTTCTGTCCTGTTGAGACCTGACTCTTGTTTCTTGATGTTTGGGCTTTACCATCCCAGCTCCTTGTCTCACTGTACCTCTCTGTTCCTGGCTTTAGAGTGAGACGTGCTCTATTTCCATATCCTGATTTGGATTCTTACAGATAGGATGTTTGCGACTTGATATCTCTGAATCCAATCTCTGTTTCTAGATAACCATAAATTCTTGAGTGTGGTCCTTATTAATTTCTGCAAAGGGAGTTTTAAATAGTCTGAGCCGACTAATAAAATACTAAATATCTTTTGAGTGTTTGCTATATGTCATATTGGTTTCTCAGAGTTCCCTTATCAAAGTGCTTCAAACTGGATGGCACAAATAAAAATTTTTCATCTCACAGTTCTGGAAAACAGAAAGCAAGGATCAAGACATCAGCAAGATTGGTTCCTTCCGACTGTGAGTGAAATCTTTCTCTCTGAGCTGCCGGGGTTCCTGGGTTTGTAGATCCCTGCTTTAATCTTTACATGTTATTTGTCCTGTGAGCATGTCTGTATCCAGATTTCCTCTTAGAATAGGTATAACAGTCATATAGGATTATGGGACTACAATATGGCCTCATCTTAACTAATTATATCTCAAGGACCCTATTTCTAAGTTCACAGTAAGAGGTACTAATAGTTAGCACTTCAATAGATGAGTTTTGGGGGGACACAACTCAACCCATAGCAAATATGTTAGACATATATGGCATTATGTTTTTAATATTTATTTTTTAGTTTAGGTGGATACAATATCTTTATTTTAATTCTATGTGGTGCTGAGGATCAAACGCAGTGCCTCATGCATGCTACCTGAATACTCTACCACTGAGTCACAACCCCAGCCCCATATATGGCATTATTTATAGATAAGGAAACTCAGGGTCAAATAGGTCAAGTGACTTGTACAAAGTCACATGGTCAGTCACTGACAGACCATCTGCATCTGATACTTGAACTCAAGCCCTAAATACCTGCACCAGCATTCCCCATAGTATGAGAAAATATTACATGGATGGATGGATAGTAGATGATTTTTAACTGTCATATGGACAGTAATTACACATCCTAATATGCATCAGAAAACAAACCAGCACATCAAATTCATAATTTCATGGATAAATTTGTTTAGGAAGAAGCTGAGGGTGCAAAGTTGAATTTATTTGAAGAAAACGTGAAGTGACTAATGAGACAGGTGGCATGTGAATATGGAAAAAGCCGTAAAGGTTGTATGTAAATGACAGAGGTCTGGGAAATAATAGCTGCACACTGGGTAGCAGTGCTTTACCTCACCCAGACTACAGGGAACTGACATCTGAGATTAGTTTAAAGCAGGTAAGGATGACAGTATGGAATGTACCTGACCAGTGATTCACAGAATATTTCTAGACCCCAGTGGGTCTTTGGAATCCACTGAAGAGGCTGAGTTAAAGATCAGGGTAGGTGTGAAGCCATGCCTAAGTAAGCAAAGGTACTTTCCTCCGTGGGTAGATTGAACACTATCTTACCTTTAATATTAATGTAACTGTCTCCATTCTGATGCTTCTTTTCCTTGCAGTAGCTCTTAAAAGGCAGTTAGGGTGTTGATAAGGCTCTGAGCTCGCCTTTGTGTTTACAATATGTCGGGTTGGCAAATGAAACTCATTTTCATCAAGTACGATTTTATTTCACTAAAGGTGCCGGTACTGGCAAGTTGTAAATGTTTTATGGTAAAATTAAGAGTTTCTAAACACATTTTACTCGTTGTGTCTCATTATTTCATCCCCTAATAAGTTTCGATCATTTTAGCACCTGTTTAAATGAAAATCCCTGAGGAAAACAGTGAGGGCAGGCAGCAATTAATACGTTCTAAAGATGCTAAAATTGCTTAGAAATGTGGCTCATGATGAACTCAGACACTGGTGTTTTACGAATGCAACATTATAGTGCCTCATGTCAGCTCTAAAATCCACCCACACTTTTGCTTCATGAATCACTGAGTGAGGTAGTTTGAAGCTTCTTTCTCTAGGGAGAAAAGCCATCTTATGACTCGAGTGTAAGTAGGTGTTTTTCTGTGGGTCATTTGTGAGGAGTGTCCTTGTGTGTTTACATCCTTAGAGATCCTTGGTGCCCTGCTGTCCATCCTTTGCATCTGGGTGGTGACTGGTGTGCTGGTGTACCTAGCCTGTGAGCGCCTGCTGCACACCGACTACCAGATCCAGGCAACCGTGATGATCCTCGTTGCAGGCTGCGCAGTGGTGGCCAATATTATGTAAGTCGCCCCCATGCTAAGAGCCCATATGGTTTATCGTCAACCCTGTCTAGTTGAGGACTCTTTTGGAAACGCATCTACTTGTGAAGGTGATAACAGATCTGTCACCGTGTTCCAATGGCTCTAAAAGTGACATTAAGGCTATAGACTAAAAGAGATTTTAAATATTGGCTTCTATGACCTACCCATTTTGAAAGTTTCCACTGCACCGGAGACAGAGCCAGGATCTTTTGATACACATTATCTGGCTTAGGATTCACAGCACCCCAACTTCACTGATTAGGAAATTGCACTTCAGTGGATGAAATAGAGTGCCAGTTATGGAGAGTCAGTGTTTGAATCCAGAACCACAGACCCAGAATTGAGCTCCAAGCCATTCCGGGCATGTTGATAGTTCCATTGGGGATAATACTTTCTCCTCTTTAATTTTATTTTTTTTTGGCTGAAACAGATTATGAGTTCCCAGAAAGTTGAGTTAAAAGGCATCTTAGAGTTTATTCACTTCAATTATCCTTCTACTTTTTAATGCTCTTTTCCAATATCTCCATAAAGTTGCCATTAGTTTTGTATATTATCACAGAACTAATAACAGGGAAGTTATTTTCCTCAAAACCAATATTTTTATCTTTGCTTCACTGTGCCTGCATGAAAATTCTTCAAGATAACGTTAGCTAGACTCTCCCTTTAGTTTCTACCCATTCTCTCATCCAGGCAACCTTAAATCAATCTTATCAGAAATGATGATTGAAAATCTCTTGCATATAGGTTTGCTCTTCCCAAAGTTGACTACTGGATTACACACAACAGTGGAGTTTGGATCCCAGGGTTTTGATACTTTTGAGTTAATTTCCCCCTTCTTACTTGATGATCTAATTCTAAAACTATCTATCCATCCATCCATCCATCCATTTATCTATCTACCAACAATCCACTACCTATCTACCTATCACCTGTAGAAGACAGAAAAATGACACTCCAAATATGCCCACATCCAAATCCCTGGAATTTCTGAACATGTCAATTTACATAGCAAAAATAATTCTGTAAATGTGAGTAGGACTCTGAGATAAGGAGATCATACTGAGTTTTCCACATGGTCGCATGTTGCCATGTGGGTCCTAAAATGAGGAAGGTAGAAGTTCAGAGAGAAGAGCAGATGCTACGCTGCTACACTACTGGTGCTGACACCGAAGCTGGAGGGAGGGATCTGGGACCATGGGATAGAAGTGGCCTCTAGAAAACGGACAAGGCAAGAAAATAAATTCCTTCCCACAAATCTATCAGGAAGAATGCAGTCCTGCAACCCCACGTTAGACTTCTGATTCCCAGAACTAGAAGATAATAAATTTACATTGGTTTAAGGCATTAAGGGTTTGTGGTAATGTTACAGCATTAATAGGAGACTCATATACGGGTTGAACGTCCTAATCCCAAAACCCCAAATCTGAAATGTTCTAAATGCAGAAACTTCTTGAACACCAACATCTGCTCAAAGTTTCAGATTTTTGAGCATTTTGGATTTTCAGATTAGAGATGCTTAATTCATAAAGTGTATGCAAATATCCTAAGATATGACAAACTCAAAAAATCCAAAACGCTACTGGTGCCAAACATTTCTGGTATTCAACCACGACTACCTACTTGTCATCTAGCCATCTTGCAGTGCAGCTTGATACATGTCATGAGGTCAGTTTTTACACGGGAGTGAAGAAGACAGCGATGGAAGAATGGTGCTTTAAACAGAGGATTCTAAGAGAGGGCACAATGGAATCTCTGGAATGCAGGGACAAGCTGAGCACGTTCAGTTCAGTTCGCAAATGCTGCCTTGTGTCACTAAGTCTTATCTCCTGGGGCTGCGGTCCCCCACCTCTCAGTTCATGAACTATTGTTCTGTCTCAGAGCTAAACGATCAACAGAATAATGTTTAATCTGCCATCACTAGCTAGATCCTCTCTCCTACCAGCTAACCTGAAACTGCATTTCACATTGGCACTGGAAGAAAGAGTGTGGGCAGATCAATGCAAATCTATCATTTTGAGGAGATAAATGCTCTAGAGCACATGTACTGCTGACTGGGGGTCAATAACATCATCTTTGCATAAGGAGAACAATATGTCCTCAAGGCAGCAGGAAGAATGAAAGTATTAATAATTTCCCGAGAGTCATATGTCACATAGGTTGTGTCAATGCTACACAAAGATGAAGGATATTCCTAGCCAACTGCCACATCAATCTGGGACTTTAATGATGGAGTTCTACTTTCAAAATAGATACCATCCAAGTTTTCTTTTTACTGCAACTGCTTTTGAACATTGACCTTAACCTTGCAAGTACTTTTCATTCTTAGAAAGACAAGGGAATTGAAAAGCCCTGCCTTCTTTGTGCAAACAGATAGTTATTTATGGATAAAGGTGCTGAGTGACTGTAATGTTTTCTCCAAGAACTGAGATCGCAGGTTGCAAATTCTGCAAGATATTGTAGTGATTGAATATGGAGAAATCAGAATTGCAATTTGCAAATAAATTTGGAATAAATCTATTCCTTGGGGACCCAAAATCCGGACAGAAAATTCTAGTAGAAGTGGTGAAGGGGTTCTGTGATGAAGGGTGTAGACAGAGCTTTAAGGCTATTGCAGGCTAATTTTTTCTGCCTAAAATATTCCTTCCTTTCATAACCTTTTAAATTCAGCTCACTTGCTATATCTCTCTAAGTCAGGCTCCTCTGTTGGCATTATCCAAAGCAGCAATTCTTAGTAACCATATTATAATTAGAAATTTCCATTTGTGTTAGTTTGTGTGTGCAGGCACGTGTGTGTGTGTGTGTGTATGTGTGTAAAATCTTTGCTGTCTCTAACACAGTTAAAGGTGCACTAGGGAGGGACTGCATATATTTTTATTCACTATATAACTGAAGTATTTAATAGCACTTGGGGCATGAGTTCTTAAGAAAGTTTTACCTTTTTAAATAAAACAAGTAAAAGGGTGAATGACACTGTGATGATCATATATGGTAAATCTGGAAGAGTGTCTGTTAGCTGCCAGTCACATTGGGCTGTGTGACTTTGAATTGTAACTCATAGCTAAGGTGTTTCTATCCAAACACAACAATATGAAAACTGTGCCTTCTGTAATGATCATATTTTGGCACACAGCAGTCATTCCACCTTGTGGTGATGGCTTAAGACTTAACAAACACTTTTACCTGCAAGAGACTATATATATAGTGTCCCAAGCAATAAGAGATTTTTAAAAAGTCTTTATTCCAAAATGTTCCAAAAGGGTATTTGGCAAAACATTCCTTGTTGACCATCAGTGAAACAATTCTCTTTTTATTTCTAGTATAAACTTTGTGAATGTTATAGATAAATAGAATCAGTTGCATAATTTTTAGTGACTACTACTTTATCACCTTGACTTGGACAAGAGATGCTACACTTTGCAATACATTGTATATGTATGTGTGTGTGCACGTGTGATGTACATAACAAGTACTTTTACAATATATTAATGTATCTTTGCTTCTAGATAAATAACTGTATATACATACACAAAACACTCTCACCATATGCCATTAAGAAATTATTCAAATTTTAAATACTCATAGAAATGAACAAAATTAAGTAAAATAAAAGTTTAAAAAAATCCCATGATGAGATTCATTCACTATTATTTTGTTTTATCCCTTTCCATTGCTTTTTGCATTTGAAACCAGTACATTAAATCAAGCTCTCCCAAGCTGAGCTTTAAGTATAAATCAGTGGCTGACATTTAGTAGATAATGAAATTTTTCCTTTTTATTGTAAAATGTTTGATTTTTATCAAAGAAATGTTGCTTTCCCATTTTAATGTGAAAGAGAATAACAATAGGTGGATGAATGAGAAAACTGAGGTAAATTTTTATAGTTTGTCCTTGAGTGAAAAATTTAAAACTCTTGTGATACACCTGTATTCAAACATAACTCCAAAATGATACATTGTAAAGCATACTGTTTTTTTAACTACCTGCCATTTTGAATAATGCGTGCTATTGCCAGCTCCTTTGTTCTGCTGCCTAGATTTGTAAGGGCTAATCTCACCTGTGCCAAGAACATTGTTGTCTTTCAGACTAGCTGTGGTTTTGCACCAGAGACACCTTGTCCACAATCACAACGAAGTACAAGCTAACGCCAGTGTCAGAGCAGCTTTTGTGCATGCCCTTGGAGATGTATTTCAGAGCATCAGTGTGTTAATCAGCGCTCTTATTATCTACTTTAAGGTGAGTGCATGTGCATGTACCCATATTGTAGTAATTACATGCATTAGCACAGAGGCTGACCCTCCAATATTGCAAATACCAACAACCTTATCTGAGTTTACCGATACAAACTGCTTTGTGAGATTAAAACAAACACTCAAAGCCTGAAACCTGAGTCTTTCCCAAATTTCTAAGAACTATGTCTTTAACTATTGGGCTGCCAATCTTTCAAAAAAGCAGTTCCTTTCGCCATGCCGTTAAGGTAGACAACAATGAAACTATTAATACCTTAGAGTTCTTAGGTCGTAAGCAACAGAAAAGATCTCTGACTCATTTAAGAAAAAATAAATAAATAAACACGTGTATTGGCTGAGATCTATTGACCGTATTTCAGGACGGAAATCAAGGTAGAAATATGGGCAAGTTTTGGTATCTAAATTTCATAAATAATAATAACTTCTGTCTCAGGCACCATGCTAAAATAAATGTGACTTGACCAAGTTTTTTCTTCCTGCTCTTGTCGCTGCTGAGGATTTATATTTCTTGGAAGGGGAGTCCAGTCGACCCTAGTTTGGGTCCTGTGCCTGCCACCTGGTTGGGGAAGATTAAGCACCTGATGATTCACCTGTCCTACCAATATTGCTCATAAGCAGAAGGGTTTGGTTCCCCCAAAGCAGGATTCTAATTCAAGAACCCTCTCACCCTGAACAAATAAATATGCTCTGCAGATTGCCATCTGTTAATATCAAGAATGAACAGGGGTGGGTAAGGGAGGGTGGGGAGGGAAAAAGAAGGAAGGAAGCTTTTAGCTCTTATCTTCTGCATCATGATGGTCCAATTTGCAGGGACTCTTTACTGTCTTTCCTAAGATATAAAAATATGTAAGCAAAATCACAGACATATATGAATTTGAGAAAATGTTCCTTGAAAACTTCAAGACTAAGGCAGAAAATATTTTAAACTTGGAAGAATTAGTTGAGTTTGAGAGACCCTTTACAAAGGTTAGGTTGATGCTGAGTTTCTTAGAGAGTGGAGCCTGGACTTGCCTGTGGCATTGAATTTCATCAAGGGAAGAACAGTAGGTGTTTTACTCTGAAGTTATGGGATCCAGTAGAGAGAGAGAGAGAGAGCAGGAGTGACACCTTTGCTTAGACCCTTAGGGCTGTGACACAGATACCTATCTCAGAGTATGTGTAATAGAGGAGAAGGAAAGAAAGAGTCTAACCCCAGGACACCAAGACCAAGGGCTGGTTGCACTTGGGACAAATGCAACCTCTCAGTAAATGATATCCTTTCTTGTCCTCATCATAATTAAGGCTGAACAGTCATTGCACATTGTGGGCATCTTTGTGCTTGTTTTTACACATATAGAGAATTTAAATCAGACCTCATAAGAATGTCTTTCACTTTCATTTTCGAATAGTCTCTACTCTTTGGTCACTGGTAATTTAGAGCTGAAAGGACAGATTGAGTCTTCAGGAAGGACATCTTGCCTTTGTGTTGGATGTCAAGTGTCAGGGGGACAAATGTGTGACTGGGAAAGACGGGAACAGGGAACTGCAGCTATTTTATTAATCAAGCTTTCTCCAAGAGAAATATGAATTCAGTTAACCAAAATTTCTGTTTTTTAGCCAGACTACAAAGTAGCTGACCCAATCTGCACATTTATCTTCTCCATTCTGGTGCTGGCCAGCACTGTCATGATCTTAAAGGACTTCTTCATCTTACTTATGGAAGGTAGGAGAGATCTCATGATTATTCCTAAGATCAATGCTTTTGTCCCCTATGATCACACAAGGGGATGGCTGCAAGGTGTGCTCACTATTAATTTGTATTATGGAAAAATTTATAAAGCTGATAAGGAATTTTTTGTGAACATGAACATTTGATTTTTATTTATATGGGAACAGATAAAAAGTGGCTTCTACTTGTATCTCGAGCAACTGTTAAATATCCCACATCATAAATATGGTCAGTGTTTTCGCTGCTGTGACTAACAGATCTGACCAGAACAACTTATAGAGAAGGAAAGTTTATTTGAGGGCTCATGGGTTCAGAGGTCTTAGTCCATAGAAGGCCGGCTCCATTCCTCTGGGCTCTAAGAGAGGCTGAACATCATGGCAGAAAAGGGTGGCAGAGGGAGGCAGCTCACATTGTAATCAGAAAGTAGACAGACTCCACTTGCCAGATAAAAATATATATACCCCAAAGCCACACCCCAATTCCCACCTCCTCCAGCCACACCCTACCACTTCAGTTACCACTCAGTTAATCCCTACCAAGGGATTAAATCACTGATTGGGTTAAGACTCTTACAACCCAATTCTTTTGCCTCTGAACCTTTTTGTACTGTCTGTCTCACATGTGAGCTTTTGGGAGACACCTCACATCCAAACCATAACAGTAAGTATAAACATTACCAGTGGAGAAAGATATTGCCAAAATATAATTATATTCCTAATGATACCTGGAGAAGACTTAAGAAAGACAATAAAAATCTACCTCTCAGGCAACATTATATCTGAACATTTATGTCTGATTGTGGTTTGAAGTACAAGAACACCAGGGTGACTTATTTGTCAAGTGCTTACTGAGCTCTGACTGCTGGATCATGTGCTCAAAACTAGAGCTACAGAGATGAGCTGAGATGAGACTTGTTTCTGTCTTCAAGAGTGAAACTTTAGTGAGAGGAGAAAGAGATAATTCAAATAATTACTCAGAAATGGAATTGAAGTGCTACTGAGAAATGACGTGGGAATTTGAACAGCTGGGGGAGAGAGACAGGGGGTCCCCAGGGTGTGCTGAAGAGGTGATGTTTTTTGACTTGCTCTCCCCCTGGTAGGATCTCATGCTAATTAACCTCATTCAACATAGCCAGAGTCTAGTCCTGATGACTCTTCTGGCTGGTCTAGCTCCTGGGGTCTTCTAATTAGTCAGGAAGTGATGAAATGCCTTCACTGTCAAGAAATTTTTCGTATGACTAAAGCTTACTGGCCACCTCTCCTGACATTATGCATTTTGCTGATTTTCTTTTCCTTTGGCAAAAGTAGTTGAAGAACTGCTAGTTTTCGCCCTTTCCAGGCTACATCTTTACTGGCAGTTAGGTTGGAGAGAGATTGTGCAATTGAAAAGGTAGAATTGCAGAGACCTCAGTTCAAATTCTAGCCACGAAAGTTTCGAGCACTTAAGTTCAGGCTTAATTCTGAACTTCAGTTTTCACTTTGTAGTGCTGTTGAGAGGATTAGATGGATCTATGGCATCATTTCTGGAACACAGTGGGAACTGGATATGTACAACCTCTTAGCTAGCTTTTTAGTTTGCCTAGAATATAGGAACTATAAAGCTAGGTTGTGGAAATGAACCCTATACTGCATATTATTCTCACATCAAGAAAGTCCCAATTCTTGGCCACAAGCTGTGTCCATAGACCTGGTCAGTCATTGATACTAATGACCTCCAAAGAGCTAGATAAGAGAGTCTTGATCAGAATAAATTTACCTTTGTCACTGGAAAAACTATTTGATACTAGGTGAAATGGGGAGAGCTACTGACTCACAGTGATGTTATCTTAGTGTACAAGTTGAGTAGCCATTATCCAAAATACTTGGGACTAAAGTGTTTCAGGCTTTAGAATTTATTTTTAACATTTGCATAATGAGAATATCTTGGAGATGGAACTCAAGTCTAAATGTAAAATTCATTAATGTTTCACACACACCTTGTGCACACAGCCTGAGGTAATCCTATGCAATAGTTTTAGTGCTCCTGCATTTTGACTGAGACCCATTCTTGTGACCTCATGTTGGTTCTGAAAAAATTTTGGATTTTGGAGGATTTCAGGTTTTGGGTTTTAGTTAGGGAAGTTCAATGTACTAAAGTAAATTAGAGGCATAAGTTTCTTGATTATATTTGCAAGGTGATTTATCATCATTACATTGACAGTTTGTAATGAACATAGATGATGTCATATTTTCTATTCTACTTATTAGAAAAACAGACATTACAGAGGATTTTGCTTAAAAAATCTTGATAGACTGAGCCAGCAGTTATCAAACTTTGGAGGCATCAAAATTACTTAGAGGTGTTATTGAAGTGCAGATCACTGGGCCCAAACCCACAGCTCTTGGGTCAGTAGGTCTTGTGTGTGAGAAGGGGCTGAAAGAGCAAGAATATGAATTTCTGCCAAGATGTTGATGCTGCTGGTCCCAGCACCATACTTTGAGATTCCTCCATGAGGAGAAGGATGGTGATAGCTCTGGGAATTATCTGGAAATCTCAATCAGATCTGGAGGTTTGCATCATATCAACTATCCGGATAATTAAAAGTATCCAAAACAAAAAGAACTTTTCTTTTTGTCCAGCTCATTTTGAGTCATGGTAGACCAAGTCCCAGAGTGCAGTCACCTTCAGTAACACTATTGAGTGCACATTTAAGAATTCTACTTGGGGCTGGGGATGTGGCTCAAGCGGTAGCGCGCTCACCTGGCATGCGTGCGGCCTGGGTTCGATCCTCAGCACCACATACCAACAAAGATGTTGTGTCCGCCAAATACTAAAAAATAAATATTAAAATTCTCTCTTTCTCTCTCTCTCTCTCACTCTCTCTTTAAAAAAAAAAAAAAGAATTCTACTCCTAGTGGGCACCGTCATTATTGGCAGATAGTGCTATGACACTAAAATGGATAATGGAGATGAACATTCACTACCCATTTTCTAAACTGAGTAACAAATGAACTTTTTGGCTTTGAACTTGAGAATATTTGGTCTGTCAAATCACAGGTGCCTCTATTTTCTTTCCTGAGGGCCAAGTACTAAGCTTCAGCAATTGTCACTATTATGGAAATTACTGACTTACAGAAAGATCAGAGAAAAACTGAAGTACAGTTTAAGATGATTGTTTTCCACCCCTCCTATCTCAGAAAAACTCTTCCCTGGAAATTATCTCTCTTAAATTTTTAAAGGAACAGTACAGAGTCTGGGCTAACTTAGCTAATTAATGAAAATGGCAGGTAACTCTTTACTGGAAGACACCTAATTTTTTAGATTAGTTCAATATAAAATAATTCCATACCTGGTAAAATTTTAAAATAATACAGAAAAGTATAAAATAATAAATTGTTTCCCCATATTTCCACCTCTAAATTCTCAATCCTGTGCTTCAGGGGTCACTTCTATTAATAAGTAAACATATATTCATACATCTTTCCCAAAACATTCATTCATTTGCTTGCCTTTTTTAAAAATAAAATATGAGATTAAATGATGTTATTTATTTGTTCTATATCTTGCCCTCCTTCACTTGGAGATATTTCATATTACCACATAAACAATACCCCATTTTTTTCATATCTGCAATTACTCCACTGTATGAATGAATGTTTTTCCTTACAGTCGGCATTACAAACAATGTTGTGGTTACCACTACTATATGTGCATGTTTTTAACACTTTGTATCAGTGGAATAGTTCACAGAACTAGTATTTTTGTTTCAAAGTTATATGTATTTTAAAATTGGATAGATTGGCTACTTTTACCCAAGATACCACATCAATTTCTTTGCTATTAACAGCATGTGCAAACACCTTTTCACATCCTCATCATCACTGAGTATTATCAAACTAGTGATTCTTTTCTCATTTGACAATTGAAGCATTATATATTATTTATTTCATATGTAATTCTTTAATTATTATGGCATTGAATGTTATTTTCAGTTATTTGTTAACTGAAATAATAGAAAGCCATGGAAGTTATCTTTTTAACATCTGTTTTGGATGTTTTCCTAGATACATTAATATTTTTTCAGACTTTTCCTCAATGAAAGAAGTTTCTAGGCTGTGCTGGAGCATCTGCATCATGAGGGATATGCCTTCTGCTTGACAACCTTATATCTTAGTATAAAATAAGTAATGGTGGCCTTTTGTTCTCCATAAAAGAAAAAAAGTAAATGTCAAATTATAATGACATCCTGACTTCAAGGGTCCTAGATGACAACAGGTCTTCACAGAGTCACCTGAAACTCCCCCAAAAAGATGACACACACTAGTTCTAAGAATGAAATTTTTGATTCCTTTGCCTAAACTCTTACCTTCGCTTGACATGTCAATGCTCAGAGATTCTTAAATCTTGAAAAAGGTAGGTTAGGATTCCTTATTTGTTTAAAGAGGTGGGTTTGGGCTCTAAATGCTCATGATAATTGTCTGATAAGTATTTTAAGAGACTTATATCCAGGCTCCAGAGAACTAGATTTAATTGTCTGGGGAGCCTTGATATATTTTAACATACAGCAAGACTGAAAAACATGTGAGGTCATGCTACTCAGGGACTCACAGGTGTTAGTGTCATGGTTCTTAATCTCACCTGTGTAAAAGACTCACCTGATGAGCACTGAGGTTGGGTCTCCTCCCCAGAGAGCTGATTTCATGGGTCTTGGGAGTAACCTTGTCATCAGGATTTCTAAACCGTGCCAGCAATTTTGATGTGCACACAAGGTTCAGAACCACCCGAAGATCTGGGAATTTCAGAACCTCACCCATGGAGCTTTCCATTAGGGGGCCCAGAACAGAGCCAAATCTTTATTATTTTTAACAAACACCTCAGGTGTTTGCATTGTGCATTATATAGAGTTGAAATAGAGGCTACAAATGAATCATTCTTAGACATATATTCTACAGATCCTCTTTGAGTCATCTTTAGCTGACAGGGATTTTACTTAACATAAGATTTTACCATTGTTGTGCTGGTTGAATTGGTATTTTTCCAAAAATTTTTTTTTGGGGAGAAAGTTTTTCCAGAAAATTTTTTTTCAAAAAAAAAAATTCTTAATTGAGTTGATTTCTGTTTTCCTATTCCAACCAACCATCATTTCTGTTTCTCTCTCTGAAGTTAGCCAGAGAAACTGTCCTTACAGATTCATGTTCTGTCACCTTCTATATGACAGGTCTTGCAACATTTGAAAAAAGTGATCACACATCTCTTGGCCTTCTCTTCTCCAAATTAGAGACACCCAGTTCCTTTGCCCAAAAGAAGAGCTGATTGACTGCCAGATTTCCCACCTTCCTGTATTCCCCACGTGGTTTCTTTAGACACAAAGATGACAGTCAAACTATTCCATTTTCTGACCCAGCCATTGAATGCAGACTAATGTAGTAAACTAATGGAAACTTTACAAATCAAATAATAAGATGGTATTACAATGTTAGGTTCCTCTATTAGCACAGTCCATTGAGTGACCTGGTAGATAACCAATATTTTTATAGTTTTACAATTTACAAAGACCCGATATCTCTTGAAGGGTTCTTCAGAGAACTCTGTGATCTATAAATTGTTCTTATCATCCCTATTTTACTACAAATATGCTGAGGATCAGAGAAGCTTCATAATTGGAGTAAATTCACAATAGTTGTAGGCAGGATGCTAACTCAGGATTCATTGAATATCAAATCCCACGTCGCTTCATTTTGCTTTCCAGAGTGCACGAGGATAATTAGGAAAAGCACAATTAGTTTAATAATATACTAAGGATGATTACTGTTGTTGATTGTTGCATAGTAAATCCTGCAAGGATTCTGCCTGTGAACTTCTGATTGATGGTAAACCTTTGGAAATAGTCGGATTTGTAAACATTTGAAGTAGGAAGCCAGAAAAGGGGAGGGCAAGTTGGCGAGGGCTTGGCAGCGCAGTTAGCCATCTCCACCAGTGGAATAACGACGCCTCCCGCTCCTTCCATCAGGTGTACCAAAGGGCCTGAATTACAATGTTGTGAAAGAGCTCATCCTGGCAGTCGATGGCGTTGTCTCTGTGCACAGCCTGCACATCTGGTCTCTAACAACGAACCAAGTGATCCTCTCTGTTCATGTTGCCACAGGTCAGTGAGTTTTGTAAACTCCCCTAGGCAAGATTCCATCCTTGTCCTGAAAAATCAGTAATTTCTCTTCTTTTCTGAGGGCTGACCTTAGTATCCATGGCCTGTCAAAACAGCTGTCGAGTGGTTTGTACTTTGAAAACCCATCCGTTTATAGTGGTTGTCACAGCAACCATGATACCAATGGCATTCTCCAGGCTGATTGCAGTGCAATACAAAGACCCAAAATGCCTGCCCAACTTCAAGGCCTTGGACTCTGAAAACTCCATTTCCACCTGTTTGGCTTGGTGTCTGACCACGAAAAATACAGAAAAGAATTTAGCAGTAAATCTTGATCGAATCTCTGCTGTGTGTAAGATGCTCTGCTCAGTGCAGATGTTAGAGGAAGAGACTGAGGCCCCAACCATAAAATTCAAACAAGCTAACAGATGTGCTGGGAGAATTAGGGCAGGTCCTTCCCTGGATGGTTGGAGATTCTGTGACCATGTGAGACGATTCTCAGGACATTATACTAACAGCTACTTTTCTTTTTTAAAGCAGAAGGTGATTGTGTCTCTGAAATGTCTCAGAGCTGGGAGAAATAGGAAGTGGGAGGTCTTTCACTGCCTCAGGAGAGAGCTTAGGCCAAGGATGATGAGTTAGGCTGCTAAAATATAGCTCAAGAAGTTACTTAGTGGCAGAGGGACAGGGACACCAGTGACCGTCATTTGAGGGCTATACTTCTCAGCCCTTCTCATCTTCTCTGAGGGGCTCAGATCTGGCTTCGGGGAATTTACAGCATTCTCTACACCCATATTTCACTGCAAATGAAAGAATATAGTAAACAATCAGGTTACCGGGGAAGGGACTTTATAGCCTCCTGATACCATTTGGGACAGGAAAAAAGATGGCAGTGGGGGTAGCTGCTCTAAGAGAGGTCTGTGGGGAGCTCTGAATGCTTCCTGCTTCCTGTCACTTGCCTTGATATAAATTCTAATTAAATCCAAAACTGCAACTCAGAGATCCCTGGGGGCTGGTGAGCAGGACTGTGTAAGAAATCACAGTTCTATCTTGGCTCTTGCAGGGTTTGTCTCCCCTCCATACTCAGTTCCTGGGAGTGCCAGGCTCCAGAGGTAACTATGGGCAGGAAGAGTTCCCATAGTGACAGGGCACTTTGCTGCACTTGAATGTCCCCTGCCTTGTCTGTGTGAACATAGCAGAGTCAAAGTGGCTTCCTCTGAGTGCTCTGCCTATGCTGCCCAGCTCCCCACCCCCCAGGCCCAAGACAAAGCATTTGAAGCTGAAGTCTTAGCCATGGCTCCTGTGTGTAATCAATGCTAATCTCACCCTGGTTCTTTATCAACAGCAGCCAGCCGGGACAGCCAGATTGTCCGGAGAGGAATTGCTAGAGCTCTCAGCAATAGCTTTCCTGTGCATGCACTCACGATTCAGGTGGAGTCTCCAGTCGACCAGGACCCTGCCTGCCTTTTCTGTGAAGACCCCCGGGACTAGTTCAGTCACACTGTCAGCTTCCTCTGTTTGATAGACCACAACATGCTGCTAGGCAACTTCTGAAACATCAGAAATAAGCAACCAAAGGAAGAATTTTGAGAAAGTCACGATACAGTGTAATGCACGTTTTATTCTGAAGATGCATATAGATCCATCCGTCAATTGGCTTATATACTCACCAGTAGCAGAGTTCAATTATAGGAAGGGTGTAAAGGTTATTCTTAACTGGCACCAAGATAACAGCTGTTTGTAACCATCGGCAATAAAAGTTTTACCTCCCTCCAATAAAGCATCCTGAAAATGAGTAGGTAAATATGAATTGAAGAAAGTCTTATCTCTTCAGTGGAAGAGACAAATAGCCACAAAATTCCCCCCAAACCTCAGGGGTAAAAGGGAATCTAGAGTCATTAGAATTTGATTTGTCCACCATCCTTAGCTAAGGTGACCTGGGCAAACATCTTCTGCTCCCATCAACATCACAACTAAATGGGGCAGAAATTCCCTCTGTTAGTCTTGGATACAAATTATGTCGTTATGTGTCTGAAACTGTTGAATTGTATTTTACTTTTCTGCATAGAAGTCCTGGGCAAAAGAAAAATTGTGAAATTACTGCTTTTTGAATGTTTTCATGTAGTATGACTTAATAATGCAAGAAAATGAGGAGACACAGAGAGGGAGAGTACTTGCCCAGGTCACATGGAAGGTAATTTGGTTAAGAATTAAGATCATAACTTTGAGATTTTGAAAAATATTGATGGAGTGCTAACTATCATTCAATTATTATATGAACTATTTAGATATATATGTCCATTGTTAATTTTTTCCTAACAATAACTTCGACAAATTGGAATAAATGCCATTATTGTATTAAAAAGACACAAGACTCAAAAATGTTAAGCAACTTGCCAATGTTATTTATGCATTCATTCAAAAAATAGTTTTTCTATGCTTGCTATGAACTGAGACATTGGTGAATGTCTTAGTCTGTTTGCTATTGCTATAACTAAATTACACAGACTGGGTAGTTTATAAAGATAAGAGGTATATATGATTCATGGCTCTGAAGGCAGGGAAGTTTGAAGTCGGGTGAGTACATATGGTGAGATCCTTCTGCTGGCAGGAGCTCTCTGCAGAGTCCCAAGCCAATAGAGGGCATCCACAAGGGAGAGGTGATGAGCCTCCTAGCTCAGCTCTCTTCTCCTCTTAAAAAGTCATAGTCCCATTAGATTAGGGTTCCACATGTCTGGTCTCATTTTAACCTTAATTATCTCCCAAAAGTTTCACCTCTAAATACCACGGTTGGTTTAAGATCTCACAAGAAGGATTCAACTTCAACAAGAGTTTTGTGGGGACTGTTCAAACATAGCTGTGACTTTTGCCCTCAAAGAATTCTTTTTCTTTTGTGGGGGAGATAGTCATTGCATGGATAAACACACCCAGGAGCATATTACAGGGAGCAGCGATGATATGAAAGAAGAGAGAATTATGTAGATTGAGGAAAGTCAACAGTTTCTCTGAGGAAATAGCATCTAAATTGAGAGCTGAATAAAAAATGTAGGTACTATTAAAGTCAATTATAAGAGGAAACAAGTTCTAGAAGAAGAAATATATGAATAGACCCCCTGAAGAACTTGGTGCATTTGTGTACCTGAGAAAGGCCCTTGTAGCCAAGGGTACACTAGAGAAGTAGAGTGAGTTAAAAAAAACATGAAGGACATGAAGCAGGAGAGATAAGTAAGGCCAGGTCAGAAAGTGGCTGGATCTATTTTGTCCTAAAGCCCATCCATACTTTCTTCGAACACTTTTTTTCTGTTTTTGTTTTGTTTTGTTTCTGACCTATAAATCGATGCCAACAATTAGTCATCGCTTCAGAAGTGGGTGAAAAATGTGTATGATTGTACATTCTTCAAAAGGATGGGATAAATACAATGTTAAATGTACAAGCAAAGGGATGACAATGTTTCCTTTATGTGTCCTGTCCATCACTGAATGTGATTCACAGGTAGCACTGGACTTGACCCTGTGCTGTTCACAGGTAGCACTGGACTTGACCCTGTGTACACAACAAGTCTGGCTAAAGCAAGAGGTCACCTGAAGGAATTGGAAAGGTCATGAGCTGACCTTCCAAAAGGCCTTGATCCCTAGATTTTGGGTTATATCATTAGCATCAGGGCTCTGAAATAGAGGAGATGGAGTGGCATGGGTGGAATCTAAAACTACGGTGGAGGAATAAACTTGACAGAGAATTAGAAAACACAGTTTCCATCCCTTTCTTCTTCCCCCCCCCCCATGTGTCTACCCTTAAATTGATTCTCAGTTTCTCTGGGCTTCAGATTCTTCCTTTGAAAACAGGGATTCCATTTTCACCAGAGGATTTTGGTCAGAATTACATGGGATAATAAACACAAAGAACAAGATTCTTTGTATGGTAAATATTGAGTGCTCAGTAAGTGGTCCCTTCAGTCCGGGGCTTCTCAATCTCAGCACTCCTCCTTTTGGGGTCTGGATTTTTGTTGTGGCGGCTGCTCTGAGCATAACAGGAAGCTCAGCAACATCCCTGGGCCTACCCACCAGCTACCAGTTATGCTCCCACCCCTAGCTGTAACAACCAAACAGATGCACAGACACACAGAGAGACTTCTGGGCTACAGGAAGAATGTGGGGTTGCTTTGATGGTAGAAATTTGGAACTTGAATGACAAGAACCAGAGCACAAGAAGAGGCAACTTTGGACTGATGCATAGGCGTGGTCACTGAGGATCCATGACATTAGGGTGACAGCCATGTTGGAGGTCTCTAGAGAGACCAAGAACAGAGCATTCCAGACAGAGAAAGGCTGGGCACAAGGCACATGTACATTTATTCTGCTAGTTTTTAATTTGAAAAGTGAAATACAGATGACAAAGGAAACACTCAAACGTGTGACTTTTAAAAGTATGTGATTCTTCGTGTGTGTGTGTGTGTGGTGCTGGGTATTGAACCCAAGGCTGTGTGCTTGGGGAGGTGTGGGTAAGCACTCTACCAACTGAGCTATACCCCCAGTCCTAAAAGTATATGATTTTTTGATGTAAAGTTTTTTGAGTTTTTTTTTTTTATCCTGGATATTAAGGCTCTGAGAAGCAGGTGGCAAAGATCCTCTCCCATTCTGTAGGTTCTCTCTTCGTGCTTTTTTTTTTTTTCTGTGCAGAAGCTTTTTAATTTGATTCTCCCTCACTTATTGATTTTTGGTTTAATTTCCTGCATTTTAAGAGTCTTGTTAAGTAAATGGGCAAAATAACTAAACAGACACTTCTCAAAAAGAAGAGATAAAAACAGCCAACAAACATGAACAAATGTTCAATGTCTCTAGAAATTAGAGAAATGCAAATCAAAACTACCTTGAGATTTCATCTCACACCAGTCAGAAAGGCAATTATAAAGAATACAAATAATAATAAGCATTGGCAAGGATGTGGGGGGAAGGTACACTCATACATTGTTGGGACTAAAAACTAGTGTGACCACTCTGAAAAAGGAGCATGGAGATTCTTCAAACTCTAGGAATGAAACCACCATATGATCCAGCTACCCACTCCTCAGTATGTATCCTAAAGATCTAAATCAGTATACTGTAGAGATATAGCCAATCAATGTTTATAGTAACACAATTCACACTAGCCAAGATGCGAAACCAACCTAGGTATCCTTCAACAGATGAATGATAAAGAAAATGTGGTGCATACACACAACTGAGTATTACTCATCCATAAAGAAGAATGAACTATGGCATTTGCTGTTAAATGGATGGAACTAGAGACTATTATGCTAAGCAAAATAAGACCCCAAAAGTCAAAAGTCAAATGTTTTCTCTGACATGTGGAAGCTAGTCCAAAATAGGGTGTGGGGGAAAAAAACAGAGAAAGGGGAAAAAAAAAAAGGTGGTGTGTGTGTGTGTGTGTGTGTGTGTGTGAAATTCCACTGTGGACTAGAAGAAGGGTTTGAGGGGGCAGGAGAAGGTGGCAGGAGAAGGGAAGAACAGTGGAATGATTCTGACCTAACTTTCTTATATACATAGATGAATATACCACAGTGAATCTCACCATCAAGTATATCTGCAAGACATTAACTAACTAAATAACTAACTAAATCAGTAAATAACAGAGAGATCAGTAGAGTGGAGGGAAGGGAAGAGAGAGAGGGAGAAGGAAGGGGAAAGGGAATGGACTTGGGACTGAATTTTAGAGCAAATTATCTTCCTTGCTTTTGTAAGTATGTCAAAATGAATCCCAATGTCATGGATAGCTAAAAAGAACCAAAAGAAAAGAAAAATATATGTGATTTTTGCAACTTTATGGTGAGAACAGAAGTCATGTCTTGGATGATTTTTGCACCATCATCAGCCTCTAGCAGGATGCTGGAGACCTAGCAGTCATTAATAATGGTCAAAGCAATGACTCTGAGGCTACCGGTGAGTCGTGTCATTATTTTTCATTTACATTGTGTTTTTCTAAAATTTCGAGGCCAAGAAAACATTGACTTTGACAGAGGAGGTCACATCTGTGCCACTTTGGCAAATCAGTCAGTGATGTCGAAGAGTCTACTTAGCATTCTGCTGACAACTCGCCCTGCTGGGCCGAGACAAATAGTCCCCCACCTCAACGAGCACGTTCAGACAACCAGGGTTAGAGCTGCCACGTCTGCTCTCTGAATAGTAGGCACAGTTCATGCCAAATCCTTTATTCAGTCTCAAGGGCCAACAAATGTTTCTGAATTTCCACGTTTTGTGCAGGACAGGACCTGAAGGCCAGGTGACCTGGCAACTGCACAAGTTGTAGTGCAATTGTTTGCTTTTGTTTTCTCTTAAAAATCATGGTTAGATTTGATTTTATGTCAAATGCACTGCCAGGTAGTTATAAGGTTGGGGGAGACTGGTGTGTCCACCAAAGGAATTGTCCCACGACTTCTAGCTATTTCTGCTGTTTCTCTGAAATTCTGCTTCAGATGGCCTGGGTGAAAAGTCTGGATGGTAAATGCAACAAGATAATCTTCACTGAGAGCTTCAAGAATTTTAAGATGAAAAATCAGATGCCACCAAGAACGTTAAGTACCATCCATCAGTTTTGACTCTCTGCCTCCCTTTTGTCCTGATTCTGGCAGGATCAGAATTCTAGGTCATAGAAGTCAGTGGAGTAGGGTTATAGAATTCTTTTTCTGTTATTTGTTTGTTTGTTTTAAAATTTTTTTAGCTGTTTATGGACCTTTATTTCACTTGTTTATACACAGTGCTAAGAATTGAACCCAGTGCCTCAGACCTGCTAGGCAAGCGCTCTGCCAGTGAGCCCCAGCCCCAGCCCTGTTCTAGAATTCTTTACTCTGAGCCACTGTGTTCTCTCAGCTGTCATAAAGGCAACATGTCTCCTTCGTCTGAGTATCAAAATCAGGTCAACTTCTCTGCCCCCTCTCTCTTTAGTATGCTTTTCCATCATCCAGCACCCAGTTAAGATTTATCCAGAGCTCTCTGGTGATGTTAGGGCCTATAAAAGAAATTTATGTGTTCCATATGTTTGGTTACAGATGGGAAATGGGGATTCTGAAGGACGTGAAGGCGAAAATGTTTACATGTTGAACATCAGTCCTGAAGTTAGATAGCTTGAGTTTGAATCTTAGCTCTTCCCTTTATTAGCTCTGCGACCTCAAGTTAGTTACTCACACACTCTGGTCCTCTATTTCCTGAGCAACAAAAACCTCCCTAGTGAGGCATGAACGTGTGTAATAAATTGGGACACCTTAAAGGGATCGACCTGTGTGTAACCTGTAGTCAGCACCTGGTATGGATCAACCATTATTTACTATCAGATACAAAAGCCAGTCTTATGGGAGCACAGAGTTTTCCATCATCTCAAATTGTAAGAG